GAACAATTGCCTGTCAGGTCTAAGATACCCAGGTTCCTGAGGTCCTCAAAGGGGCAAAAACAGTGCTACTGGCATGCTGGCTGCAAATGCCCCCTGTGGACAAAGTGGGGTTGGTTGCTGTTTATGTTTCTGTAAAGATGAGCGAGATCATGTCTCTCTGCATCTCAAATAAGGAACACTGGGAGCAGGTGATCCTTGGTCCAGCCCTGCAAGGGCTTCACTTCACGGCAAGCCAAAGTCCGACCATGGCCCTCCACCCACCTCGCCCCTACATCTCACTTCCTGTACTCCTCCCCTCACCACCTCTGGCCACCTTGGCTTCCTTGCGTTCCTTGAGCCTCTGGCTTAGGACCGTGGCCCTTGCTGTTCCCTCTGTCTAGCACCTTCTCCCACAGAGGTGCTCAGCTCACTCCCTCTCCAGCTGCAGTGTTCACTCAATGTCACCCTCCCAACGGAGCTTTCCCCACCTCCCTATTTAAGACACAACCACCAACCCCCCAGCTCCTTAGTTTTCCCAAGACTCATCCCTTCTAGCCCGCCACATTATTTACTTTAAATAAATATGTTTATTGCCTGTTTTCACTTCTCCCACTGGAATTGTCAGCTCCAAGGGAAGGTGGTATTCTCTCTTGGTGACTGATTGTCCTCAGGGCCTACAACAGGGTCTGTGTCCATGAAGGGGCTTAGTGAAGATTTGCTCAATGACTCAATGAACGAAAGAATGATGTGTGGGAAAAGTAGTAAAAGGGATGGGGCTCAACACCCCAAACACACACACACAGATGCCTAGCTATCCCTGCCAAGGTTTCAGGCAACACTCTCCCCTTCCCTTCGGTCTCCCGAGTCCCTGAATGAGCTAGGTCAGGCTGGGCTGAAGAAGAGTCCTACCTCCCACTGGGTCGGAAGCCAGTTCTTGCTGGGAAACCTGTCATACACTCACTAGCTAACACGGACAGTGTGAATCTCAAATAGGCACTCTCTTTCTTTCCAGCCTCCTGCTAAACCTCCCTTCCTGGCCATCGTCCTCACACCAGTCCTCTGTGTCCTGGGCTCCGAGAGCTGCCTAGGGTCTCCTTCCTCCATGTGGCCACTGCTGTTGTTGTTGTGTGCTGTCGAGTCGGATCTGACTCATAGGGACCCCTCCTTGGGTTGCCAAGGCAGTATCACTACGGAAGTAGATTGCCCAACCTTCCTTCCGAGGAGTGGCTGGTGGGTTTGAACCGCCAGCCTCCTGGTTAGTAGTCAAGTGCCTTAGGCACTATGCCACCGGAGCTCCATGTGGCTGGCCCAGTTAGTGTCCATTTAACCAAAGCCTGTCAAGTTAACCCTGACTAATGGTATAGAGGTCTTCTGCAGTAGATTTTCCCAGGGCAATGCATCATTTGACTTCTTGACTGCTGCTTCCATGGGCACTGCTTATGGAACCATGTAAAATGAAACCCTTGACAACTTTTATCCATTTATCAGGATGTTGCTTATTGGTCCAGTGGAGAGGATTTTTGTTTCCTTTATGTTAAGGTGTAATCCATACTGAAGGCTGGATTCTTCGATCTTCAAGTGCTTCAAGTCTTCTTCATTTTCAGCAAGCAAGGTTGTGTCACCTGCCTATGGCAGGTTGTTAATGCATCTTCCTCCAATCCTGATGCCATGTTCTTCACATAGCGCAGCTTCTCAGATTATTTGCTCACCATACAGATTGAATAAGTATGGTGAAAGGATTCAACCCTGACACACACCCTTCCTGATTTTAAACCACGCAGCATTCTCTTGTTCTGTTCAAACAAATGCCTCTTCATCTAGGTACATGAGCCCAATTAAGTGTTCTGTAATTCCCACTCTTCTCAATGTTATCCATAATTTGTTATAATCCACATAGTCAAATGTCTTAGTATAGTTAAAAGAAAAACAAACAGACAAACAGATAAACATCTTTCCAGTATTCTTTGCTTTCAGCCAAGAACCATCTGACATCAGCAACAAAATCCCTTGTTCCATGTCCTCTTCTGAATCCAGCTTAAATTTCTGGCAGTTCCCTATGAATATACTGCTGCAATTGTTTTTGAAATGTCTTCAACAAAATTTTAGTCCAGTGTGATATTAATGATATTGCTTGGTAGTTTCCACATTCCACTGGGTTGCCTTTCTTACAATGGACATGTGTGTGGATCTCTTCCAGTTTATGGATGTTACTTTGAGGACTAAGGTGCACCTGACATGGTATTTTCCATTGCCTCAGATGCATGCAAAGGCTGGACAGTGAATAAGGCAGATGGATGAAGGATGGATGCATTTGAGTCGTGGTGTTGGAAGAACATTGAACACACCATGGGCTGCCAGAAGAGCAGAAAACTCTATCTTGGAAGAAGGACAAAAAGCCTTCTTAGAAGTGAGGATGGTGAGACTTCATCTCACGTACTTTGGGCCTGTTATCAGGAGGGACCAGTCCCTGAAGGAGGACATTATGCTTGGTAAAGTAGTCAGCACAAAAGAGGAAGACCCTCAACAAGGTGGACTGACACAGTGGCTGCAATGATGGGCTCAAACACGGCAATGAATGTGAGGATGGGCGATGTTTCGTTCTATTGTACATGGGGTGAGTCCGAACTGACTTATGCCACCTAACAACAGTGGGGAAGAACTACTCCATAGGGTTTAAGGCCCCTCACTAGGCCTTTCTTCAGAAGCACATCTAGGTGGGTTAGAACCACCAACCCTTCAATTAGTAGCTGAGTGCTTCACCATTTGTGCCTCTGAGTCACTATACCTGTGGTTGCCATGAATTGGAACTGACTCCATGGTAACTGACTCCATGGTAACTGGAAACATCCATCTACCCACCAGATAGCCAGCTCCCAGTGGGGGTATGGCTCTGGTTTGTTGCTGGGTTTGGGGCACACAGTAGACACTTAACACATCTAAATGGTGGTCATAGGGTGACCCAGCAACACTCTGGGACTCAGAGTTGTCCCTCAGGCTCCCAACTAGAGCATGCGGCTTCCTTGGGCACCAAAACCAAAAGCAAACTCACTGCCATCGAGTCAATTCCGACTCATGGCGACCCCTATTTGGTTGCCAAGGTGGTAAATCTTTACAGAAGTAGATTGCCCACTCTTGCTTCCACAGAGTGGCTGGTGGGTTTGATCCTCCAACCTTCTGGTTAGCAGTCAGATGCCTTAGGCACTGTGCTACCAGAACTCCTTCCCTGGGGCACCAGAAAGGAGAAAATGTCCCTGACCTCAAGCCTGGGGCAGGGGGCTGGGAGTTAGAGGGCCCTCTGCTCAGAGTCCTGAGGTATCTTCCCTCACTTTGAACTCCTTCCACAGCCGGGCTTGCAGAGCTGGGGGCCAGGCCCACCCTGGATGTGGCCCTGCTGGACAACAGGCCTCTGAGGGGGCTGCATAGGCTTCGCTCACTCTCCTGGCCACCTCCTTCCCCAGGGTCCCACCTCTTAGACCCTGTGGTCGCTTTGGCTCCTGGCAATCCCAGCCCGAGTCCTCCTGAGGTCCAGCAGGACACAGCACAGCCCACCGCCACACGCATGCTGTCGCCGCTGACACATGACGCCAGAGTCCACAGTGGGGAGAGCACCTTTAATGTCAGAGCGTCACCCGCCTGTGACCACCCTGCTTGGAGACAGAGTGGCTGCAGGCAGACCTGCCTCAGGGAGGGGCAGTCAGGGCCCAGCGGGACCAGCCCACAGCCTCACACAAGCACCAAGAACTGAGACAAGTTGCCCCTGCTATGTGGGGACACGTGCCGGGGGCACTAGGACTTTAGAGTTTGCTGCCATCGCAGAGTCTAGGGTCCTGGCCAGAGAGAGAGGAGCACCTGGTGTGGGCTGGTCACAAGGAGCTCATGGTCCGAGAGGAGCTTTGAGAGATGCAGTGGGATGGGGCCACCCCTGTGTCTGAGGAACAGGAGCACTTCTCCCAGGCACGGCCTGGCCCCAAAAGCATTCCATTTTTTTAGTGGTTTAGGGGACATTGGACTTGCTGAGAAACAGCAGTCCATACAGATTGCCCAGAGGCAGTCTAACTGGGGAGGAGCAAGGTGCTATATGCCCCCTGACATCACTCTCCAGGGTGCCTGTTCCCATGAAATCTTCCTTCTTTCTGGCTCAGAGCTGGGAGGGGTCTGGCAGGGCCTGGCCGCAGATGCAGGTGAGTGGATTCAATGACAAGAGTGGGAGGCGGCCATGGGTGACGCCAGCCTGGTTCAGGCTCTTGCACCCACAACACTCCTCTCGCATGGTTCCTGAGTCCACGGGACTGTGGTGGGCTCACTCCAGGTCTCCCTGGCCTTGGAGAGTAGCTACAGGCCAGGCCATCTGAGCCTGAGGAGCAAACTCCAGGCTTTGGAGAAGGAGGCTGAGGAATGGAGACTCAGGACCCTGTGGCCCAGGGTGGACTGGGCAGGCCCTATTGTCCTTCCTGCTGGCAGGAGGGGAGTGCCAGCCCTGCGTCCCTCCAGTCTGCGTTTGCTTCTAAGAGGAGGAGCTGGTAGAATAGAAAGAACACTGGAGCTGAGAGGCCTGGGTTCGAATCCTGACCCAGCTGGGGACAGGTTATTCATACCCTCTGAGCCTGTCTCCCTGCTGTGCAAAGTGAAGATGGGAAGCTTACCTCCTAAGGATTAAATGAGACAATGTATGTACAGCTCCCTGTACAGGCCCAGACATAGCAGGGGCTCAATAAATGATGGGTATTAATGATTATTCTCATGTCCATCTCCCAGCCCACCCAGACCCCATCTCCAGCAGGGGTGGGGGGGGAGGAGCAAGGGGAGGGTGTGCTGAGCTGGCTGATCCTCTCCAGACCCTGCTCCTGGAGGTACCATCTGTTCCCAAGGCCCCCAGGCCCTGGGAGCCAGTGTCCCTCACAACCGTTCATGCCCAGAGCCCAGCCCCACCCCACTTGGGGCTTCTTCAGAAACCAGTAGTGGCACAGGCTGTAGGGCTGGGTCTCCCACCGGGGCCGGGGTTGTCCTGGACAGCTGGGCTCTTACTTCCTCCCACTGGCACTGCCAGCACTCTTCTGCCCAGGGGCCGGACCAAGCAGGGCAGCAAGGGCACCGTCAGCTGAGGGGCCACCTCGCTTCATCTTGAGGTTGGCCCTTAGGGTGGCATCCTGGCCGGAACCCCCCTCTGGGGAGGCCAAGGGATCTAGGAGCAAAGGAGGAGGATGGGCTTAGCACAGGCCTTAAGAACACTCAGAGGGGTCTTTGCTTCTGGACCCTGGCCAGAGAGAGAGGCCCTGTGCCTGCAAGGACAAGGCAATACACCAGGGGCTTTGGGCTCCTCAAACACCCATTTATTTACTCACGCAACTCTCTATTCACCCATGAATCCATTCATTCACCCATCCATCCATCCATTTACCCATGTATCCATCCATCCACTCATGTATCCATTCATTCACCTTTGCATCCATTCACTCATGCATTCATCCATCTGCCCATCCATCCATGCATCCATTCATTCACTCATCCAGCCACCCATGCATCCATCCATTCACCCATATATCTATTCATTCATGTATCCATCCATCACTCATGTATCCATTCATCCACCCATGCATCTATTCATTCACCTATGTACCCATTCATTCATCCATCCATTCATCTATCCACCCATTCATTCAGCCATGCATCCTTTCACTCACCTATCCATTCACCCATGTATCCATTCATTCATCCATTCATTCATCCATACACTCACCGTTTCATCAATCCATTCGATCACCCACTCATTCATTCATACAGTCTTCAACAAATGTAGACTGGAAGAAAGGCATCAGTCACCACCCCTGACAAAGGGGCTCCCAGCTTGCCAGGAAAGACATGGAAACAGCACCACACACTGGACAGAAGGCTCAGTAGAGCACTGTGGGGACAGAAAGGAGAGCTCAGGAGGGGCTCACGAGACAGAGGCCTTGGAATCAGGCTTGAGTATGAGTCAGGGTTGACCAGAAGAGAGACCAGCCTGAGCAAAGGAAGAAAAGGTAGGAAGGTCCCTGGGATGTTTGAGTGCCAAGTCTGTGTCACTGGGCATAGGGCTGTGTTTGGGAGGGACTTGAGTTCAGTTGATGAGCCTGGATGGTGCTCTGGGCATTGGGAAGCCACTGGGAAGGGTCTTTAAGCAGGGGAGGGACGTGGTCAGACTGTGAAGACCATCTGGCAGCCGAGTGGAGGGGTCATTGAGGCAGGGAGACCTCTGAGCTCCAGGGGCAGCAGGGAGGGAGCGAGAGAGGCGAGAAGGAGGGAGAGGGGTGAGAGGGAGGGAGTGTCCCAGCTGGGTGGCCGGGGTGCGCCTGCCAGTCCCCAGACCCCCACACTCACCATGGATCCCAATCATGTGCTCCAGGATAAGCACTCTCTCCGCCAGGATCTTCAGGGCCTCCCGGAGCTGCTGCACCCCCTCGCCCTGGCAGGTGGGAAACGGGCCGGGTCAGGGCCAGCTTCCGGAATGGAGTACGGCCATCCTGATGCCCAGGCTGTGTCCTCCCAGCCCTCCTCACCTCCTCCCACCTGTCACCACTGTCACTACAAACAGCCACCACTTATTGTACATCTACTATTCTGTTCACAGATAAGGAGTCTGAAGTGCAGAGAGAATCACCAACATCCCTGTGGACACACAACCTGCAAGTGGCCGACCTGGGCTTCAAGCTCAGACCTGTTGGCCTTGAACCTGGGCTTTTCCTTCCACCCCAGCCGCTGGGCTGTTCCCCGTCATGCCCTTCTTTCCAGAAGACACTGTAGTGGGGGCAGAACGCTGAGCACAGGGCTCCATAGGTGGAGATGCTTTGTTTGTTTCCTCCTGGCACACAGCCCAAGTCTAGTCTTTCACTCATTCACTCCCCATTCAAGTGAACCCTGCAGGGCAGGCCCAGGGCAGGCTGCATGTGGCCACACCAGGCAAGAGAAAGAGATGGGGAGCGACTGTTCCTCGTTTTAAGTAGGAAGGCACGGTGATCAAGGCTACATACATTTCAGGGGCCTGGTCTACACATGGGCAAAAGATCTCGTGCATTGAGACTCATGGATGAGCCGAGACAGGATGCTGAATTACTGGGAAGACAGGTGTCAAGGTCTCTTTGAAAAGAAAAATGGTGGTGAGACTAGGCTAGTTCCTGGCCAACCTAGTGCCAGGCATCAGCAGCAAAACAGGTGCCTTTGGCTGGTATGACATGTCACACCTGTCATGTTTAGATTAATGTCACTAACAACAAAACAGAAGAAAACAAAAAGCATCCCACCGCGTTAGAAGAGAGATGTCTTCTGTCAATGACTGACTTGTATGTGACAAAAGGAGATGTTGAAATCTTAACCCCTGATACCTGTGAATGTGACCTTGTTTGGAAATACCCACTGCTATCGAGTTGATCCTGACTCATAGAGACCCCCACTGGGTTTGCGAGGTGGTAAATCTTTACAGAAGTAGACTGCCCCATCTTTCTTCTGCAGAGTGGCTGGTGGGTTTGAACCACCAACTTTCTGGTTAGCAGTCAAATGCCTTAGGTACTGTTATCACCAGAGCTCCTTGGAAATAGGGTCTTTGAAGATGTTATCCATAAACATGAGGTCATACTGGAGCAGGGCTGGTCCTAATCTGATGTCCTTATGAAAGAGAAAGCACAGAGACACACAGACAGAAGATGGAGACAGAAGTGGGAAAGCTAAGGACCGCCAGCCGTCACCAGAAGCTAGGAGTGTGCCACAGAACAGATTCGTGCTCCAAGCCCTCAGATGGAGCCAGCACAGCTGACACTCTGATCTCAGACGCCCCCAGAACAATGAGACATCGTGAATGTCTTATAAGCCACTCAGTGTGGGCTTCTTCGTTGTATCAGCCCCAGGCACCTCATGTGTGCAGAATGGCTCCTACCCCCAGGACCTAAGGCATACTTTACCTCTGTGGCCTTCTCTCCGTCTTCTTCCTTCACGCCAGGCTCTCCCTAGGAAGCAAAACCCTGGGTCAGTAGTCAGTAAGGGGGTAGGGCCACCTTTCCACCCTCTTCAGTGTCTTGGCCAGACCTCCGAGGCTGTCAGGGAGTCAGAGAGGCACACTGGGCAGGCAGGACCTGGGGACCTGGTGCTGGGGACCCTGGACATTAACAGTGACACTCAGACCAGCATGGGCTCCCGACCTGGGCTGCGGCTCTGAGTACCCTCTGCGTAGCCTGGCATGGAGATGTGCCTAAGGTTAGCGCTAAGGGCTTAGTTCTGCTCCTGGGGCAGGAGGGCATCCAGGCTTGGAACTTGCAAGTTCACATCTCAGCTCTTCAGGGAATAGGCCTCCTGCCTCTCAGGGTGCCCTTTCTGTGTCTAAAATGGAACTGGTAAGATCAGAGCCCTAGTGGCGCAATGGTTAAGCACTCAGCTGCTAACTGAAAGGTCGGCATTCTGAATCCACCAGCAATTTCGTGGGAGAAAAGACCTGTCAATCTATTCCCATAAGATCACAGCCTGAGGAACTCTGTGGCAGTCGTGGCCTGTCCTGCAGGGCTGCTGTGAGTCAGAATTACCTTGGCTGACTCACAATAACATTTCTGTGGCCGCTGTCCACTGTGCAACCTGCAGCACGTTACTTCACTCTCTGGGCTTCGGTTTCCTCCTCTCTAAAGTAGGTGATAAAGGAGATTTGACCACTAATCAGAAGGCTGGTGGTTCAAACCCACCACCCACTCCTCGAAAGGAAGGTTGGGCAATCTACTTCCGTAGAGATACTGCCTCAGAAACCCAAGGAGGGGTCGCTATGAGTCGGATTGACTCGATGGCAGTGTTTGCTTTTGGTGGCATGATGGTTAAGACATTCAGCTGCTAACCAAAAGGTCAGTGGTTTGAACCCACCCAGCCACTCTGCGGGAGAAAGATGAGGCAGTCTGCCTCTGCAAAGACTTGTAGCCTTGGAAATCCCATGAGGGTAGCTATGAGTTGGAATCGACACAGTGGCAATGGTTTGGTTTGGGTTTTGACCTCATCGAGTTATTAGGAAGATCAAGTGAATCAACACTTTTAACGAGCTTAGAATACAGCCTGGCACCAAAAGCGCTGTGAAGGTGCTCACCATTGTTACCTGCTATCAGGCAGAAACATGGGAGGAGGCATGGCTTTGGAGCAGACATGTTGAGTCTGAATCCTGTCTCTGCCCAGTGGTGAGGCTGTGTGACCTTGGGCAAGTTACTTAACCTCCCTGAGCCTTCGCTGCCAGTTCCAACAAAGGGGACAATAAGGCCCAGTCTAAGCAGGTTGCTGTTGAAACTTCAACTATAGATGGGAACCTGTCTCTGTGTGGCCAGCCCAGAGTTCCTTCTCACCTGCCCTATGCCTCTCACATAAGGCAGCCGGCTAGGACACCTTGGCCTTGGGCAGGAGCTAAGGGTCATAATGTCTTGCTTCCAAGAAGGGTAATTAGAGAGCAGCTGGTCTCAGCCTCTTACGTCTGGGAAGTTCAGAGAAGGGAAGAGACTTTCCAGGTCACACAGAGCATTGATTCAGGGGCCCAGGGCAAGACAGAGTACCCAGGAAACAAGGTAAGCATGAGCTCAGTTACGCTTACTACTAACCTGTCCGAAACCAGACTCACTGCCCTCAAGTCGGTTCCGACTCATAGTGACGGATCCTGGGGTTTCCGAGGTGGTATCTTTATGGAAGTAGATTGCCCAGTCTTCCTGCTGTCAAGTCGATTAGCTTTACAGAAATAGATCACCCAGTCTCCCTTCCGAGGAGTGGCTGGTGGGTTTGAACCACCAGCCTTCTGCTTAGCAGTCAAATGCCTTAGGCACTATGCTACCAGAGCTCAATTTCACATGATGTGTGAGTGATTAATTAAGTAAGCAAAGACTTGCCTCCAGGAACTGTAACCCTGAGAAGAGGCTTTGACTCCAGAAGGTGCTATGGAGTTGGGAGACAGCCAGCCAGCCATACTTAGAAGCAGACTTTGGTGTAGTGACAAAATGTGAAATCACTCACTACAGATGAGTAAGTAAGCACAAGTGTGCTCCGGCTTACCTTGATTATTGGGTAATCTGACACAGGCCCAGGTTATAAAACACCTTGACCCAGGTCACACAGGACATTGAGCCAGGGACTCAGGTCACAGGGGACATTGACCAGGAACCCAGGGTCACACACAGAGTTGCCCCAGGGGCCCAGGCTCTTTAGAGGAGACCATAGGACTCTCATCCAAGCCTCCTGTCTCCTCAACACCCCACAGGAGGCTAGGTCAGCCCTTTCTGATACACCCCCAGTGAGGGGCCCCCCAAGGTCACATCTTCTCAGTTGGGCAGCTTGGACTGACACTGGTTACCCCTTTCCCTCCCCCCGCCTCATCCTGACCAGGCTGGACAAGGCCAAGCTGGGGAAAGCTGTGAGTCTAGACTCAGGCAAGGCTGCCCAGGACAGGTTCCCACCTGGTACCCCGGGCCCTCATCAGAGCCCACTGCCCCACAGAGGGAGTAGCCCTGGGCACCCCAGGCCTGTCCACATAGACCCACACTTACAGTTGGCCCCGTCATGCCCCGCTCTCCAGCCAGGCCCTGCAGAAAACCCAACAAAGCTAGTCAGGCCCTGCTCACCCTCACCCAACTCCTTGGCCTTCTCACACAGAGCTCAAGGGTTGGAAGACAGGACAGAAGGGGGAATATGTGGAGATATCTAGACTGGGGGTTAGGGGAGAGATGAGGTGGGCTCCAGGTCCTGGAGCTGCCTCCACTGGCTGGGATATGGTCTTGGGCCCAGCCGAGGCCTCAGTCTTTCCATCTATGAAACAGGGCAACGAGTTTGGCTATCACAGGCCAAAGGGAAAAGAATAGCAAAGCGTATGTCCCCCAGCATTGGGGAGCAGGCCCCCCCCAAAGCAGGGAGTATAAAGGACACTCGTGAGAGTCCCCTGTATGGCATTGCTATCAGCGGTGGTGCCAAGGCCAGACAGTGCCCAGAGCTCCAGAACCGTGTGCCCCACTGCCCTCTATAACACCTCCACTCAGTCCCCCTCCACCTGTCTAAAGTGGAACTCTTGGATGTCCCCAGTCCTGCCCTCTCAGTCTTCCCCTTCTCAGGAAATGGCTCCAGGGTCCTCCTAGTTGCTTGAGGCAGACACCTGGAAGTGAACCTAGAGCTCCCCTTCCCATCACCCACAAATTGATCCCATTGGCCAGAGTGGTCAACTCCACTTCCAAAACACGTCCATTCACTTTTCCATTTCCACCGCCATGACCTCAATGCAGGCCATTGTCACATCTCCACCTCCTTCCCCACGGCCTCCTCCCGTCTGCCAGCCTTACTCTCCTCCACCACCACCTTCCTTCCAGGGCAACCAGAGGGGCCTTTTAAAGGTATCAATCATGGAAACCTCTCCGGAAACTCAGTGCGTTCCCTGCCCCCACTTCGGTGCCTCTCCTCCCCACTCCTCAGCCTCATCTGTGCTCCTGCCTCAGGGCCTTTGCACCCACTCTTTCCTCTTTCCAGAATGTTCTTTCTCAAGGTCCTTGCACAGCTGCGCCTCCTGGTTCCTTGGTCTCACCTTATGCTCACCTCCTCACACCTGTCACCCATTATCTTTCAGAGCTGGCTCTCCATCACCTTGCCCCATTTAGCAGCCCCTCCTTGGGTTTCTGAGGCAGTATCACTATGGAAGTAGATTGCCCAACCTTCCTTCCAAGAAGGGGCTGAGGGGTTTGAACCGCCAGCCTTCTGGTTAGCAGTCAGATGCCTTAGGCACTACGCTACCAGAGCTCCCAGTTTGAACCAACCAGATGCCCTGCAGGAGAAAGATGAGGCAGTCTGCTCCTGTAAACACTTACAGCCTTGGAAACCCTGTGGAGGCACCTCTCTTCTGCCCTACAGGGTCACTATGAGTCAGAATCGACTCAAAGGCAATGGGTTTTTTGTTTTGGGGTCTCCTATGAGCTGGGCTCAGAAGGAAGATGGGGCAATCTACTTCCGTAGTGATACCGCCTCGGAAACCCAAGAAGGGGTTGCTATGAGTCGGGTCCGACTCAATGGCATATTACAACAACAATGGGCTGGGCATTTTATATCAATTATTCCATTTCCTTCTCCCAACAGTCTTGCCTGGGTGAGACTATCCTCATTTCACAGATGGGGAAACTGAGGCTCAGACTTGCTCAGACTCACCCAGTTGGAAAATGGCAGAGTTGGGCTTCAAACCCAGGTCTGTCTGCCCTGCTCAGAGGAGAAAGAAGGGCCACCCTCATTGTCCACTGTGACATCAGCCCCTGGCTCCTGCAGCCCAGGCAGCGCAGGCTGGGGGACAGCGGCACAGGCATGGCCACCAGCGTCTCCCCTCTTTTCCTCCCTGTAACAGTCCCACTCTTCGGGTCTCAGTTAACACATCCACACAATAGAAATGAAGCTAACCGTTTCGTCCAAGAGACTGGCACAGGGAGAGTGGGCAGCAAGGGGAGGCTGCAACCCAAAATCTGGCCAGATTGCCTGGGGCCGAGGGCTGCTTCCTTCCTGAGACGCCCCTGGTGCAAAGAGGTCTGGCTCTACCTTTCTTGGGGAGACAATGCCCTCCCGGCCCCCATCCTTGTTGGCCAGAATTGGGAAAGTCCTTACCTGGGATCCGGGAGCACCTGGGGGCCCTGGGGGGCCGTGTGGTCCAGGGGGACCTGTTGACAAGAGTCACAGGTGGTCAGAAGGGCCAGAGAAGGCCACTACCCACCTCATTAGCCCTGGAGACAAACACTCCCTACCTTCCTGCCTCAGCGCTTACCCTGGGTCTGTCTCCCACAGGTGACAAAGGTTTGTCGAATGTTGTTGAATGGGAGCATGGAAGGAGTCCCCACACTGCACCTCCACACCCCGACTCCTCACCTGAGCTGCCCCCAGAGCATCCCATCTATGACCCAAGCCCCCCGCAGCGCCCCCACACCTCATCCAGCTCCTCCTCCCAGGGCTGGACCCATGTGCCATCCCAAGCCTAAGAGCTGGGAGACCATGGAGGCCATCAGCGTGGACTCCCCGCTCCCATCACAATTAGTCCCCTGGTGAATCTCCCCACCCCACCCCTCCTCAGAACCTTGGACTTGACCCCTCAGAGGCCACCCACATTGTCTGGGTCATGATAACAGCTTCTTGACCATCATCCTCCGTGTGGCCACCCAGCGTCAGCTTCCAGCCACGCAAGTCCAACCAGGCCCCTCCCCACCCTCATCTCCCCAGATGCCCCCTGAAAAGTTCCTCTGCCTGAGTCTTTGAAGGACTGTTCCTTCCTCCTGGAAAGCCCTTCCCGAGCCTCCTACCTTCCCTAGCCAGCCCTTTCCTATTAGTTTTAGGCTGAGCATCACCTCCTCCAGGAAGTCTTCCAGCACCTACCCCACCAACCACTCTCCACCCACTGCTCCCATTGGTTTGCATGTCTGTCTCCCTGAGGGCCAGGGAGGACCAGAGGGGCAGGCTGGGTCTGAGGCAGAGGCAGGGGTTGATTCCATGTGTCGGGCCCCTCTGCAGGTCAGCTCTGAGGAAGAGCCTCTGTTCTCAGTGGCCCCTGTGTGCCCAGGGCTGGAGTGCACCCCTGTGCGTGCAGGAAAAGGGGTGGTGTGGTGCAGACCAGGCTCAGTCTAGTCAACAAACAAATGAATACCTCCCCATAGTCAGGGTGCTCCGAGGCCACAGCAAAGCTTCCAGAAGTTCCCAGATAGCTTATGCTCATGTTTCACCTTTGTCAAGCATTTGTTCAAATTCACCTTTGGAGTGAGGCCTGCCCTGACCGCAGCAGCGGGCTCCCCACGCCAGCCCCCTGGCCCGCTCTGCTGCTCACGGACCACCTTTCCGTTTCCTGTAGAAAGCTAGGCTGTGCCACATGGACGGGAATCCTCGCCTTAGTCACGAGAGACTCTAGGAACCTGGAGCCTTGCCCAGTACACATTTCTCAAATACGTGACAGGATAAGTGAATGACAGGGAACGAGTCCTCGGGCCTGGAGCTGCAGTGAGGCGCCCTGCCAGCCAGCTGGCTCCCAGCCTCTGGGGCTCATTCATTCAACCACCAGTAGCACGCCATCAGACACGGCATTCACACAGCTGGGTGGCCAGCCAGTGGGGTCAAAGAGGGCAGCCAATCCAGCCACACTCTTCCTCCTCCCCAGTGAAGCTCCGAGGAGGAGGAGGGTCAGATCAGGAGGCCAGGCTCATTCTGAGACTTTGGGGTTGGGCCGTACTGGCTGGGGCCTGCTCGCCTGTCACTAGACCTCCTCCACCACTTCCCTGAGGGCCCCAATGCTGACCCCATGCCACCGCCTTGGCCTGGCCTTCTGTGGCCCCAGTGCTTGCCTGCTCTGGCCCACGCAAGGACAGCCTAGCACCTCTTCACGTATGCACTGAGCCCAAGACAAAGGGGAGCGGGCAGCCCGGGGTGATGGGGCAGACTGGTCCCTAGCACTCAGCCAAGGCCAGGGACCCCCAGCTGGCCTCAGCCTCCTTGGTCAAGCACAGGAGGGGGTGCCCCAATCCAGGCCAGCCTGGCATGCTGTTCTCCCTTACCTGGTGGCCCTGGGGGACCCCGGGGCCCCGGGACACCCGCCAGCACCGTGTCCACAACTGTAGATGCCAGCTGTGAGTCTCCGCCTGTGGGGAGAGCAGAGGGGGCTGTAGGGGTTCAGGCTCGAGTGGGCAGGCACCTGGATCCCACTGGGCAGCAGACACTGTCTCCCACTGCTCAAAAGAGCCCACGTGGCCCAGCAGCCAAGGGCAGAGAGAACCAAGCACAGCTTCTGCCTGAACGTGCCAGGCCCTGCAGGCTCCAGTCCCACTTGCCCCTCCCTGGGGCCCACACCGTACCGCATACCAAGCCACGGACAGTCAGACAGCCCAGGTGACCTCTCTCCAGGCTCCACCCACTTGTCCCTATGTAAGCAGGTTCCCTCATCTCCACCCACTGAGCTGGAGGCCCAGGACTGCAGTGGGGGGTGTTTTGCTCCTGCTGGGAGCAAACCCGTGTGCCTTACACATAACAGGTACTCAATAAACATGTGCTGATGGACCAATGTTCTGTGGTGCTGTCATCACAAATGGGGTGACCAGGACAGGCCAGCGAGCAGAGGGGACAGGGGGCTAAACTGAGGAAGGGATAGGCCACTCTGGGGCCAAGAATAATGGGGGTCCAACACTGCACCCCACAAACTTCCCCCTCGCTCCTAACCCTCCCCCACTTCCCTGGGAGGCAGCAACCAAGTCCTGCCCACCGAGCCCATCCCATGTGCACTCACTGTCTTTGTCCGTGGGTGGCTGCAGGGAGTAGAGGACACCTTGGGGGCCATGGGTGGAGAGGCCAGGGCTGCCTGCGGGGCCAGGGGGGCCAGGCGGGCCGGGCTGCCCCGTCTCTCCAGGGAGCCCACGGGGTCCTGGTGGCCCCAAGAACCCTGCAATTGAGAGGAGTTGCTGTGAGGGGTTGGGCCTGGCAGCCGAGACATTATAGGTGGGGAAACTGACGGCTTGCAGGGGATAGGACTGGCCAGGGTCACATAGTCAGTCAGTGGTGGCCTCTTGACCCTAGTCTCCCGGGGCATGTCCCAGAATATAAGTGAAATGACTTTCTCTTCTCTAGTAGGGAGGGGCTCAGGGGTGGGGGTGGGACGTGAAGGAGGGAAAAAGACAATGGGGGGTCAGTCTACTCCCCTCACAGAGGCTCCTGAAGAGCAGGGTCAGCTGCCTCTTCCAGGGGCCTGAGCCCTGGGGCAGGGGCACCAGCGTGGGCCTGCTGTTCGCCTACCTTGATTGGGGGGTCACTCCCTGACAGGACCCAGGAGGAGCTGGGGAGGGGGATCTGAGAACAAGACTCTGGCCCCTGCAAGGCCCCATGCCCATGCCTGCACCCAGAGCTCCTGGAGGCCTTCTCTGCTGGGCCTTCTGGAAACTTCCTGAGGCCACAAGGTGGGATGTCCAGCTAACGCAGAGAGGACAGGCCCGTGGCTGGCCAGGACTGCCCATCTAACTGTGACCCTGGGTTGGGGGCAGAGATGGGGGGTGGGAAGAGCGAACCCAGAGCTCCAAGAGGGCGGTAGCACCCCAGCAAGATCAGGGGCGTACGGGACACCTCACTTGCTTGGTGAGTGAGAGAGAAAGCCCAGCTGATCCTCCCAAAGAGGGTGTCCTTACCGGGAGGCCCTGCTGGGCCCTTCTCGCCTGTCTGGCCCCGGTCACCTTTGGAGCCTGGGGGCCCTGCTGGCCCTGGAGGTCCCGTCTGCCCAGGAGGCCCTGCGAGGGAATGAGTTAAGACACACCCTGGGCCAAGCTGCTTGCCAGTGGCTCCAGCCCTGCCTGTCTGGCCTGTCTGGTTGACCTGCCCTCCCCTTGCGCCAGTCATCACAGTTTATAGATCGCTTTTATCCCTGTTAATTTCTAAGCACTCAGCTGTGAGCCAGAAGATTGGCAGTTCAAACCCACCCAAGTTCCACCTGAGAAAGACCTGGCAATCTGGTTCCATAAAAGACAACAGCCAAGAAAATCTATGGGGCCCTTCTGCTCTGTCACACGGCGTCACTATGAATCGGAACCAACCGGACAGCACTAAACAAACAATGAATCTCAAGAGGGACTTTTGTTCCCATTTTACAGGCGAGGAAACTGAAGCTTGGAAAGGTTTAGTCCCTCGGTTGGTCAAGGTCACAGAGGCTGGAAGCAGGTGGACCACACACTCAGGACATTCAAGTATCCCTCCCTCACACCACTTCCTATTGTCAGAGAAACAGCTGTGGTAACATCCCCCCCACCCCATGGCCTCCTTGGAGACCCCAGTGCATGGTCACTGGGGCTCCAAAGGACCCAGCTCCGGTTCCGGGATCTCCAGGCCCCAGGGATGGGTGAGAGGGAAGACAGACGGAGTGGAATGGCCAGGGACGGTCTTGTCTCCTCAGGGCCGCCCACCTAGGAGGCCCAGGGCACTTTGGTTGAACTGATGGAGCCAACCTGCATTGCAGGAGCTTCCGGCTCAGACCCGGGACTCTGTGGTCTGGGAGGAGGGGCTGGGCTCAGGCTGCTGGCACCTAAGAACACAGGACACTTCCAACCACTCAGGGATTCCAGCTGGGCTCTCTCCCCAGTTTAACCATGTGTAGGGTCAGTAAAAAGAGGAACACCCTCAGCAAGATGGCCTGACACAGGGGCTGCAACAATGGACTCAAACAGTAATGATGGTGAGGATGGGGCAGAACCGGGAAGTGTTTCAAGCTGTTAAGTGTGGGAGTGGGAACCAACGCCAAGACACCTAGGAACAACAATGGGGTTTGTGCACCACCTGGTGGCTATATTCTGGAACTGCACCTTCCTGTGATAGAACGTTTGGCCTGACACACAGTGCCAATCCCCACCACCCACCAAGAGGGTTTGGGGCCTGGGAGCATGGGAGGTGGGAAGCTGCCATCCTCCTTAGTTCCAGAAGGAAGATTTGAAGAAGGTGGGCATGGATCAGGCTTCTAAGGGTGAGCCCTTGATACAGTAACAAGAGGGACAAACCAGGGGGGCCCAAGGTGACATGGGGTCCCCAGTGGCCCCTCCCTGTAGCAGAGCTGAGTTCACCTTTTCCCCCACAACCTCCAGTCCCTTCAGAAAAGGAGCCTCTCGTCCCGGACCCCACTGGACGACACCTGTCTGACACACAGGTCTTGGCCTGAAAGTCAGACTCTGCCAGGACAGGCTCATGGACAGAAACAGGACAGAAGAGGCAGGGAAGTGTAGTGGTCAAAGACCTGAATCTAGAAGAGGATGCTAAGATACTGGGCTCAACCGGGAGAGGGTGAGGGGAGGAGGTATCACCTCTAGAGGGCTCTGGTGGGACAGAGAATCAGCGAGGCCAGATGGCCCTGGCCTGCTATGCAACCCCAGGAGAGCTACTTAACTTCTCTGAGCCTTGGTTTTCTCCTCTGTAACCCTAAACTTTATGAGCTTATTGCAATGATTAGCAATGATACCTCTACAGCCTAGGGTAATATAAAATATTTAATAACTGGCACAGCGCAGATACTGACCAATGAGAATGGACATTGGCCTTCCACTCCTGGGTCCAATGGACTGACACGTGCTAGTTAAAACATCTGCCAAGGGTAAAACCCCAGCACAGTGCCTGCCACCAAGCAGACACTCAATACCAGTGACTATTATCATTACAATGTTATTACATTCTGAGGCCCAGAGGGCAGAGCCCAGACTATTAAGTAAAGCAGCAGTGAGAAAACTTCTATCCCTGACTTAAAGGAGACAGATGTCTTCTGACTCCAATGAGAGTTCAGCAAGGAGCCACCAGGAAGTGACGGGAGGCTGGGAAAGTGACCCCCAGGATGGTGAGGTTGGGCTGCAGGCCTCCGAGAAGATGCTGGGGGGCAGGAAGGGTGACGAGGACAGTAGCCGGACTGTAAGACAGTCGGAAACAGGAGGGACTGCGGCAGATTGCAGGGCTTGGGCCAGGTCTGCAGGGTCAGCCGCAACTTGTTGTTGTTGTTGTTATGTGCCGTCGAGTCAGCCCTAACTCATAGCGACCCCTCCTTGGGTTTCCGAGGCAGTATCACTACGGAAGTAGGATTGCCCAACCTTCCTTCCGAGGAGTGGCTAGTGGGTTTGAACCACCAGTCTTCTGGTTAGCAGTCAAGTGCCTTAGCCACTACACTACCAGAGCTCCTACCAGCCGCAACTTAGCTGTAGCCAATTGTCTCCTGGGGGACTGCCAGCCTCAGACGGCCAGATCTTCCACGGTTTTTGTTTGCTTGTTTGTTTTTTAAGTGAAGACAGGCATCCTGATTTTCATGTGAATTCTCCAAATTTTTAAAAGTTGGTGTGGTGGTTATGTTTTTGTGTCAACTCGGCTGGGCCTGGTTGAGTGGCTGGGCAGCTGGTGGTCGTTATTCCTCTTGAGGAGACTGGCAATCAGCTCCATGGTGGGATCTACCACAAGCAGCTGAGTAGCTGCCTTTGGGATGTGGTCTGCTTCCCGTATATAAGGAGAAGCCTTGGGAATGGTCTCTAGCCTATGGCACGCTTGGACCCTGCATGTAGCCGTGTCGTTGCTCAGCAGCCTGCTATGCTCTGCCAACCTTGACACTTACAATGGACTTAAGTTAATGGCCTGCCGTGTGGTTTGGTAACATTGGGACTGTGCCTTTTTACTTGTCAACCTTGGGGCTTCCAGCCTCAGCAGCCAGCGGCTGTCTGAGTGAAGAAACACCTCTAGCTCCAGTGGGCCGGGAGCAGGAAGCAGAGCTGGACCCCAAGGTTGAGGGGCTTTCACCCAGCCCCTAGAGCCTAGCACTTTGAACTTGGACTTAAAGCCTCCAAATTGTAACCATAAACTCCTGTTTGTTAAGGCCACCCCATTTGTGGTGTATTTCTGTCAGAGCGGCACTAGGGAACCAGAACAGTTGGCTCAATTTTTTAAAATGCCACGTGGGCTGAACCAAACCCGCCGAAAGGCTGGTGGCCGTGGGAAGCTGGGTCCCGGGCCTCCCTCATCCGCCTGAGTCCTGCAGGCCTCTCTCACCGGCAGGGCCCGTGGGCCTTCTCCTTCGGGGCCCAGGGTGGGCGAGAGGGATGGCATCAGGGAGGAAGTCCTCGTTCCAGGGTGTCAGGGTGCTCTGGGGGGCCGGAAGGTCGTTGTCCGGGCCTGAGGGTAGTTCCGCGGCTTCCAGCAGGAGAACCTGGGCCAGGAGAAGAGCAGAGAGTCAGAGTTGGCCGAGCCAGGGGCAGGGCCATGTGTGTGCAGGGGGGCCACACGTGTGCGGGGACATGGGCCTCGTGACATCTGCCCACCCCTGGCTGCGGCCACACACGCTCTCCAGTGGGACCACCATTCCCTTTGCTGGAATGTTCTCTCCTCTCACCCTCTTCTGCCCATTTCAGTCGATCTCTCCTGGCCCCCCAGGTTGGAGCAGGGCCCCATCAGAACCGTCAGACCCCCTGTTCTTTTTCCTAGTGCACTCACCACTACTTGAGATTAGAGATCTGTGACCACTTGGGTAATGCCCGACTCGCCCCCATTTCACTGGAGCTCCCTAAAGGAGGGGTTGTGTGTGCCCCGTTCCCACACTGCCTGGCACGGTACATGGACTCCTTGCTCAGGGAGTATTCGTGGGTGGCCGGGTGGGTGGACGGCTGGGTGGGTGGATGGATGAATGGATGGATGGGTATAAATGGGCCCATCACAGTGCATGGCTCTCAGTAGGAGCTCCAGGAAAACAAAGAGTGGCTGTGTTGTCCCAGGACCAGCCTGGAGGCCAGCCTCCTTCTCTCTCCTTAAGGAGGGGAGGGATCAAGGACTGCGAAGGCCCAAGGCCTGGGGCACACGAGGTTTTCCTTAATTAAGGTAAACTGGAAACCAGACCTCACGGACCCCAGAGAATCTCCCAAGAAGCCAGCAGGGGGTGCTGCATGCCAGGGCTAGACACTCAGTGCTGGCTGAGTGCCTCCTGAGAATCCTTATGAGGGCCTCCCAGGGCAGGTGGGGAGGTGCTCTGGTGGCCTAGTGCCCAGGCATTTGACTGATAACTAGAAGGCTGGTAGTTCAAACCCACCAACCTCTCCTCAGAAAGGAGACTGGGTGATTTACTTCTTTAAGATTTACTGCCTCAGTACAAACAACAAATATGAACCCCTTTGTAAATACAATACT